GCTGAATAGCAGCATGCACTTACTTGAACACTTAGAGATTTTGTAACCGTAACATAGAAAGATTTTCACATGAGATCGTGTAATAGTATGCATGGTACATTCCCTCAATAAGACTTTGTTTTAGTTTAATAAAATAAAGTCACCATTGATCTTGGATCCTAAATTGCACACAAGTGTATTTGAGAAGTCCGGCATATTCCCACTTTCTGTCAGGGAACTGTGCATACACATACTACTCAGAAACACAAGTACACCGAGCTGTTAAGTAATATTTGTTTTCCTTCTGGGAGATAGCACAACAGAATGTGAGCTTATTAAAACTGAATAAAATAACTTCCCTCTACCCTCTCTTGAGTGCTTGTTCTATGTCCTGGCTTGCTCGGGAAGGGAATTAAATTTAGAAGTATATTGTCGATTCTGGGTTGCAAAGAATCTGAAGTCTGCTACCCAATGGCTGCTAGAACTTTCTGCGTGTGTGGCTTTGCTTTGGCCTTTGAAAAATACATTTGAATGATTGAGAAGAATGTTTCTTCTGAGTGTTTACTTCCTGATGAGAGTAGTATTCCTAGATGCTGAGATGTTATCGTGCAGAAGAGCAAATTTAGATTTGACAGGACAAATCTAAAAATGGCATTGGCCACAACAAAAAAATAATAGCAATTTTGTAACTGGGATTTGGACCAGCATCAAATTTGGCACAGGTGCCTCAGACAGTCAGCTCTTGCCCTATGCTGAACATGTGAAAGTTTGGGCAAAGGGTTTTTTAGTTATGATTTTTTTAAAAGAACTGCTCCCTCCTGCAGAAACAAGAGACTCTAAAATCCCCTAATTTAAAACAGATCAAATAAACTGAAAAGACTGATCTTGCTTATATTGAAGGAGAATGGTTGGCCACACCCAAATTTTTTTCATGTAGCAGGAATCAAGGCTACAGGGGCTGAAATACTGATCCTTTAAAAAAGCCTTTTAAAAAAGGTAAAAGTTTGACTTTATTATAACAGACTAACCAGCAGGAGCATTCTGAAGTAGATAAATTGTTGCAACTTCATGGCCCAGCTTTGTGGCTGGGGATGGTCTTACTCGATTTTTGCAGAGTTTTGGTGCCTATATCCTGTCATGGTCTTAACCATTCCACCCGTCTTGTCATTATACAATTGTTAGGTAATTAAGAAACACTCGAAAAATGTTTTGTGCCATCATGCCACTTCTGATGTATGGTGACAATATGAGTTAATGGTCTCCAAAATATGTCATTAACAGCTCTCCTCAAATCTACAACATCTCATGTTAGGTTGTTTTCTCTTCCTGCTGCCCTTTGTCTTCCTAGCTATATTGTATTTTCCAATATGTTCTGCTCAGGTCTTGCAAACTAGCAGCTGTGGCTTCATGTATAGACACAATATGTCTCATGATATGTCTTCCTCTCTTCCTACTGCCCCCCTTTCCCCAGCAACACTGTCTTTTCTTGTCAGCTCTATATTTTCATTATATGTATATAGAACGATACCATTCAAATTTGTGAAAAAATAAGCCATGTCAATTGCTTTGTGTTTGACTGAGAAGTGATCAACTGATGAAAAAAGGAGTAACTTCTTTTCCCTTGCTTGATGAACTTTTATGGACTATCCACTTCATCAGATATAAGATGAAGTGGACTTGTACATGAAAGTAGCTCTATATTTTCATTATATGTATATAGAACGATACCATTCAAATTTGTGAAAAAATAAGCCATGTCAATTGCTTTGTGTTTGACTGAGAAGTGATCAACTGATGAAAAAAGGAGTAACTTCTTTTCCCTTGCTTGATGAACTTTTATGGACTATCCACTTCATCAGATATAAGATGAAGTGGAATTGTACATGAAAATTCACATTAATATATATATATATGTTAGTCTGTAAGGTGCCACTATGTTTTTGTCTTTTTTTGCTTTTTATTTTTATTTTGTTTTCAGCTGTAATGCTTGTACAAACTAACACAGCCACCCCTTCTACAACTACAAAAATGATACAGCCTTTTTCACCCTCAAAGCAAGTCTATGGGGGACATGAGTGTTCAGATTTCTGAATTGTAATTCAGATCCATATCTGGGTCAGATCAGATCAGGTCAAGATTGATTCAAACTGAATCAGGGCTGAATCCTAACTGAGATTTGACTTACGTGTGTCCTGTCTTGGTATGTGCATTTATACACAGTGCTGGACATTTAGCTAGCCTCCATGTCTTCAAATAATTTAATTCAAATAGCCAAAAACCTTATCTGAAACAAAAAAAATTTTTTGGGAGAAATGAATCTTAGAATTCAGGTGACCTTCAAATGCATGTCACAGAAATGCCGTTGCAGCTGTGGTGATTTACAACTTGATTTAACGTCTCTTGGTTTCAGTTGCATCACGATTCTTTGGAGTCTCCCAATCTTTCTACGCCATCTGAGGTTCTTTTAAATGCGGTTACAGATCATCTTTCAACTGCCCAGCCGTCCATAGCACCTAAGCAACACCAAAAATATGTTCGCCACAAGCAGTCTTTCTTTTGTCTAATGGCAATTAGACTGCTTCTCGGGTCAAGAATGAAAGAGGGCACCCACTGTGTACCCAGCTTGTTTGTTCATACCCACTACCGAATGAATGGCAGACGGTATTTAGCTCAAAAAATATTTATGAGGCAGCTTTCCACCTGCGTGATCTGGATGCCTTCCGTACACCACTAGAGAGGGCCTTAGCACAACAGCAGATATGGTGATAATTCCAGATACCTGTACTCAAATGTTCCTACAAGCAAACAAAGCAACATTCCCTGTCAATAAAAGCTGGATGAAGAAGAGAAGGTTTTGGTTCTAGTTCTCACAGGCACTCATTTTCTGAGTTCATGAATTTGTTGGTTGGTTTGGAGAAACAGTCTACCTAGAACCTTTGAAAATGGCTTTTTTATAGTTACTATGACCCCCCCAGCCAAGATGGTCACTGGCCAATGGTGGCTCTCGGTTCTGGGACTTGTAGATCAAAATCTCACTTTTCTAAGCTCTAGTTCTACCATACATGCACACATTGTTTTCCTAAAATGGAATAACCAAGAAACTCTTCAGAACACTGAAATCAGTGTGATAAGAGTTTTGGGATCAATCCATTAAGGTGTTTTTCCTCTGAGATGCATGTCTCAGCAATTAGTCTTTCCAATGAAGCCCCTGTGTACCCTTCAATTGCCAATCAAAACCAAAGCAGACTACAGTAAATGCAAAATGCATGCTTGAAGGAAAGTAGGTGCCATGACAAACAGAAGCTTACCACTGCTTTCAAGAACACCTCTGTTCAAACCGTGCTAAGCCTATGGTCTGGTCTGATCCTTTAGATATCCCGGCATTGCTTTTTAGAGGATTCCATGCATTGCATGATGAGAAAGAGCTGCTGTGCTTGAGTTTCTGCTAGCAAATAGAGACACATGGGGGCTACAACGGGTTGGGGTTCATGGACTTAGAGTCAATCACATCTGGAGTGTGCCATGTGGGGTGAAAGCCAGAGTAGGCAGACCAATGTTCTGAACCAGTATGCACATGGGGGCTACAACGGGTTGGGGTTCATGAGACTTAGAGTCAATTACATCTGGAGTGTGCCATGTGGGGGGAAAGCCAGAGTAGTCAGACCAATGTTCTGAACCAGTATGAGGCAGCATCCATAGTCTACATGAAATGCAGCCTTCAACAACCAGAACACTTTCCCCTCTTAAGAGGGGAAAAACACAAGTCTGAAACCTATCCAAGGTGGTAATATTCCTCAGTGACACTGAATATCTACAATTAGCTTCTCGGTGAAAGGGGGCGTAAATATTCCTCAGTGACACTGAATATCTACAGTTAGCTTCTCGGTGAAAGGGGAAGTGGTGGCGCTGCGGGTTAAACCGCAGAAGCCTCTGTGCTGCAAAGTCGGAAGACCAGCAGTTGTAAGATTGAATCCACGTGACAGTGGGCTTCCGTCGCTTGTCGCAGCACCTCACCAATCTAGCAGTTTGCAGTTGTAAGATCGACTCCACGTGACAGAGTGGGCTTCTGTCGCTTGTCGCAGCACCTCACCAACCTAGCAGTTCGAAAAATGCAAGTAGATAAATAGGTACCACCACAGTGGAAAGGTAACAGTGTTCCATTTCTAGTTGCGCTGGCCACGTGACCATGGAAATTGTCTAAGGACAAACGCTGGCTCTACGGCTTGGAAACTGGGATGAGCACCGCCCCCTAGAGTCAGACACAACTTGACTAAATGTCAAAGGGAGCCTTTACCTTTACCTTTACCTAGCTTCTCAGTAAAAGCCACATGAGAGGGAACAGATCTGCCAAATCATTTTGAGAACTGCTGTCAACAAAAGAAACAGTTCTGCATATACTGTACGTGTTTTCTTTAGGCAAGGACATTTTGAGAACTGCTGTCAACAAAAGAAAGAAACAGTTCTGCATATACTGTACATGTTTTCTTTAGGCAAGGAAACATCACCACCACCACCACCCCATCTTGTCCAAGACAGTGTCACAGTGCAGATCAGACTTCAGAAGAGAGACTTTCAGACTACAATTCCCAAGGCATGCTACTTCCCTGAATTGTAGTCCCAAAAAGTAACTTTTTCACATTCTCAAAATTGAGGTCTGTGAAGGGAAAGCTATGCCCAGACACCTGACTAAAACAGAAGAAAATAAAATATGGGGGAAACTCTTACTCACAGACCATCTATGTGATTTTTTTTAATGGTGGACTTCCATCATCTACAGCATAGTGACCTATCATGTAGCAATTGGGTCTGAGGGTCTGCAAAAGGGAATATGTAGGGCCAACAACTCTCAGGACGTTCCCAGCCGGCATGGACTTTGGGGACCCCAACACTAACATTCCAGAGCTCCGAGTTAGGCAATTTCAACAAGTCCTTCCTTGAGCATCACATGATTTTCTTCTACCAGCCTTGAAGGTGGGGCTTGAGTGGAGCCAGCGTGTGAGACAGAAGGAGCTGTTCATTTGTGGAACTGGGAGAGAGGGCAATGTAGAGGCATGGCTTGGTTTTGCCTCAGCGTGCTGCTTCTGCTTTTCTCGGCCCATGGCTGGGCATGCCAGCATCCTCTCTGCCGGTGTTCGGGCAGGATGGTCTTCATCTGCCAGGAGAGCATCGTGACCTACGTACCCCGGGACATCCCTAGGAATTCCACCGAACTGTGAGTAATGAAGGGGGGAGAGAAAGAAGGCAAGGAACGGCAGCCAAGTTTGGTACACACTTTTCTTGTCTTTTTGAGATCAGTTTGACCTGCTGACAGCTTTTGGATGGGTTCCGGGGGGAGGGGGGATGCTCAGCTGCTCCGGGACCAACTCTTTTCACTGTTCATCCTCTTTCTCAAAGGCTTTTTTTTTTTTTCAATCTTTCTGGAAAGATAAGCTCTGGCAAAGTTTTAAATTAAGTTTCCCTCAGTGGCAGTGGGTGTTTCCAAAGAGATTGATGTGAAAGTGCCCAGCACTTCCTCCCTAAAAGTGTTGCTTTTTGTGTAGTGGAAGCTGAACGCAGAGCAGATCTCTCTCTGCTAGAAAGAAAGCTCATTGAACTGCAGTTGGATCTTGAGGAAATTACTCTTTTTTTTCCTTGAATTACAGCTGCTAGAATTTCTAGAAGTTACAGTCCAAAAAAGCAGTTTTTCCCACCTATGAATCAGAGGAAGGAAAGCCGGCAACATTTTCATCATGATATTAGTAGCTAGATAGTACATTCTATGCAGGAAACACATCTTTCTTTCTTTCTTTCTTTCTTTCTTTCTTTCTTTCTTTCTTTCTTTCTTTCTTTCTTTCTTTCTTTCTTTCTTTCTTTCTTTCGTGTGTGTTTGTGTTTGGACAGAGCAGAAGTGGAGTGGGGGGAAATCACAGATAAGAGTTCAAAAAAGCAAATTGGCTTTATGGGGTGAAGCAGCACAAGAACAGCTAATGAGAATTGATGGAGACAGCTCCTTGTGCTGTATTTCTCAATGGCAAGAAGACAATTTCTTCAAGTTCCCATTTGTTTTGCACAGACTGACACAGCCAATGTTCTTTATCAGATTTTCCTTTAGTTCTGTAAATCAAAGATTAACACCAATATTTACCGGTAGTTTGTGTGTGTGTGTGTTGTGTTTGTGTGACTGCTGAAATTAATCTATGGGG